ATCGAGGATTCCTCAGATGTTTGGGGGGAAGAAAAAAATATATATATATTCGTGAGTATTCACACAGCTTATTTCAAGAAAAAAGGAAGAAACTTAGAATGAGTAATACATCAAACAAGATTAGACTGCACATGACCTGAAAGACACCTTTGTACTTAATATCAAGTAATCCTGGAATCTTTACCTCAGTCTGTCAGTAATCGTGAGAGCGTAAATCTATAGGACTAAATTCAGTACTGAAAAAAGCCAAAATCAAACTGCAATAATTGGAATCTTTTCAACTACGATAAACTTTTAAAAATTAATTAAAAAGAAAGGACAGAAAGAAGGACAGACAGATGGACAGACAGAAAGTCTTTACCTGAAGCTGCTAATAACTGTATTTGTTAGCAAACATTTTTTTCCATTGAGTAACTGGATTAGCAGTGTCACGCAAAGTGTATTTCTGGTTAATTACCCAGATCCCTAAGGGAATTTCAGTATACTTTTCATGCTTGATACTGTATCAACGAGAAGATCTGCAAGTGTATTTGGAATTTGCCAGCCCTTTCTTTTCAGCTTGCAGTGCACAGAAGTTATGAAATATAACACACAGAAAATATGAGCATTTGTGATGTACACAACTAAGAGGATGCTAGAAAATCTATTTCACTTGCTGCACATAATCCATTTTCAATGTGTAAAATGTGCACAATCAACTAAGACTTTTAGAATTAGCATGGGAGACATTCCTCACCTGCAAAGTCTTACCTCTGACTATAGCTGTTTGAAGGACAGGGTTGTACTACACACACATAAAGATTAAATCTTTGCCTATGTATTTAGCATTTAAGTGCTACAAATCAATATCAGAACACCAGAGCAGATATTCAAACATCTTGCAAGAACAAGATTCTTGTGGCGCGTTGTTATGTGACAAAAGCAAGAAGCTCTTTCTGTGAAGAGTCTGCCAGCCCTGAGCAGATGGAACATGGCAGGGGCTGGAGAAAGGCATGGCAGGGGGAGCTCGGTGCCATCCCTTGCTGGGTCGAAGCTGCGGAACTGGAATTTTTGCAGCACAGCATCAGCAGGAAAACCTTCTGGGGGATGCGATTCTGACCTCAGTGAATTTCCTGGCAAAACTCCTAGTTATTCCCATAGAGATACTTCCCCAGTTTTTGCTACTTTATCAAACAAAAGACCAACTCACTCTAGCTTGTTGAAGGATTTTTTTTTTTTACTCAGACATAGGTAATTACGCTATTATAAATATCCCAGAGTCCAATGGAGGTAATCAATTATTTTAAAAAGTGTAATAAATCTTTATAAATAATAGAAAAATGTAAGGCAAAATTCTCCAAGAATTTTCTCAATGTCATTAGCACTGGTCACTGAAACTCCACTCAACTCTAGAGCTTAATTTGTGCTTTTACTGAAATTTCAAGATGGTGTGAATACTGTGAAGAAGAGGTATCATTGTCCAGTCCCAAATTTAATGGCAAGCAAATCTTGAACTTTCCTCTGGATGTAGATAAAATGCAAAATCTGAAGCTATGTACCAGTCATTAATGCTTTGTGACATTTATTCTATGAAAAGTATAAATTAGTCTCCAGAAAGCTGGCACCATTCCATTTTAAAGACTTTTTTTAAAAAAATTTCCAAATCTGTAAGCAGCATGTCTGTATTCTTTATTTTCGTATGAAACTTTGATAGTTTTAGTCCCTTATGAATCTCAATTTGAAATACATTCATTTAAATGCAGATTGGGACTTCCTCTAGAGAGCAAAGAAGAAACACTTTAATGTGGAATTTTGGCAGAGGAATAAACTTAATTTTTTTATTCCCAAGACAACTGATTTTTTTCCAGACATCACTTGTATCTGATATTTTCTCTACTGGTAGACAACACTATTTCTCTGTAGATCATATAGTTTTTCAATAAGCATCTAACTTTCCTAACATCAGAAGTCTCTAAAAATTAAACACCACTTTTTTCCAATGGGTCAATGCTTTGTTTCATCTGAAGTGTCATACTAATTGTTAGTATTGCATCACTGGTGTTTGCATCTACGGTAAGATACCATTAAGGGCATAAGATCATACTGATCAGCAATGAAACCACTACAAAATACAGGAAGTAGCATATTATTAAGTACCCTCACAAAAAGAATCTTATTTGAAATGCATACAGATTTAACCTATTATATTCATATTCTATTTTACTCGGATATATTGAAGAATTTTTTACTGAGATGGTAAGCTTTATTAGTCTTTTTACTATACAATAAGGTCAACTCAGATTTTCAACAGATCAAACATCCAGTTAAAATATTAGAATTGGTTAAAATACTGTCTACTTATTTTTTTAATACTAAAGGTAAAAATTCAGATTTGAGAAGCCAGAAGAGACTGCACTTCTCTCTTTATGCACTTAAAAATTAGAGGTACTTTATAACTAGAGCTATCTGGAGGTAACAGTACTCTGGAACACTTGTCATTTGTTTAGCAATTGCTTTGTAATTATCATCTGCTTAGCTTATTTTAACCTTCCAGCTCCAGGAAAATCCATTACAGAAAATACATATATATATATGTATACATATATATATAAATTCAATTACTTTCTAATGTTTTTCTGTAACTCACTGTAGAAGGTAAGTGGTTGTGCTGTGTTCCTAAATAACATTACAAATATGTTATATATCTTCAGATTACCAAGAAGATATCCTCTTAAGAAACAGACTTACGCTGGTAGGATAAAAGATAACTAGAGGTTAAGTTTGGCTTCACAGGATTTGTCTCTCAGGTTAGAATTTCAAAGACCCAGTGTGCTGTTAGAGCCAGAGCTCCTTTTGATGGATAAAAATCCTAATAACCCAAGACATAACAACAAGGGTAAAGCTAAGGTTATAATGCTGTTCTAGTTCAAGTAGTGTGAGATTCACTAAAAAATTTGCAAGTCAGGGAGAATGTGATGGCTCAGTTGGCAGTTGATACACGTTTTTTTCTCAGTGAAGTCTGCAACTTTTCTATATATAAGCAATGCATTGCAATGTGATAAAGAACTAAGATTTCACACACTTAAACACAACAAGTGATAAATTGAAATGGCACAGTTCTATTCAGGGTTTACTGCTGAAGTAATCCAAAAACCTTTTTAGTTTTTGTTACTGTCAAATTAATTCATGTAAAATGTGCCAGGAGATAACTCTAAAAATGCATCAGAGAAGATAGATTTCCTATTATTGTTTCCTTCCTTTAGTGCACTGCTTACTTCATGCTGCTGTATTTCCCAAAACTTCAAAATAAATTGCAGATGTAAAACATGGGTTTCTATGATTTCCATAAATTCAAATACAAGTGATCATTTTTTCTAACTCAAACAGAAGAAAGTTGGACTGATGCTTTGATAAAAAAATAAGATTTTTTAATAATAACAATTCAAGAACAAAATGTAACACCAAATACCAAGTAAAGATGTCTGGGACACCAAAGAAACATTCTGCAGGTGCTAGTTTTCTCCCCCAGAAACCCACCTAACCTTAGAGCTCATTGGGACCACAGAGTTTAAGATACTCCCTAGAAGAGAATATATGGAAATACACTGATGGACTGCAGGTTCTCAGAGCGCACTGATGGCAGCAGCATCTCTGAAAGACAAAGGTGGCCTAATAGCATACTGATACTGCACAGTCTGTTTTTGCCTATGCACAGTGGAAAGTACACAAATTTACTTTTAAATAAAATTTTGAAGAAAAGACTAAGTATTAGATATGGAAATAAATATAAGTTTTATGGTGCAAAATTTTATGTCTAGATCCTACATTTTCTCTGAATTTGTGAATAATATGTGTCTCGGAGGACAACTTTTTGTCACACATCTGAATGAGTCTGCACTAAACTCCTTAAAGACAGGTTGAAAAGAACAGTTGTAGCCCAGAAATCCCAAGAGGATTTAGGTCTCCTGGGTTTTGAAGGCTATATAAGAATTTATCAGATTCCCCATAATTGACAGAGAAGTGTTATGAATACACAGTGATATTCAGAAATGTGAACAGGGCACAACAGAATTATGAAGATGGAGCTTTGCATTATTGCAGTTCTGTAACACATTTTGGAAGTCTTACTGTAGTATTAGTCTGATTACATGGACAAAGAAACCTATTTCTGAGAGCCTAGAGTGCAAATGAAGCTGGTAGGGCACTGTCTTGGAAAGTGCTGAGTCCCATTTCTCCCACGGTTAATAGGCTCATACTGTGTTCTACATGGTGAAGAAGGTATCTCTGTAACTGGAAACCAAGATGTCTACTGTTTAGTGATAATTTTTTAAAAAAAGTTTCTAACTTACATATGAAGATCTGTTTCTTGGACATGAAAGTACCACTGGAGCTAATAGTTGTCATAGTTTGATGGTTTTTCATTGGCATTCTACAACATAGCATCCTGAAGTGTACTGGGAGTTGAAGCATTAATGCTGCCGCTCTGTGGATTGCCAGTATTTCCAGTTTCTGGCAAAACTACAACTGCAAGAAAACTTCATTTTTGCATTTCTGTTTTCAATTCGGAAGGAAATATAAAACTAACTGAGAGTCACAAGACTGCCCTCTTTGCTCTCTTTGCTCCATGGCCACTTTGTCTACAGCATTAAAGAGTTCAGTTTTGGAAACTCTTTCTCATTTTATTTGATTTATTAGCTTCAATTCCAATCATATTCTATTGTATTTTATTATCTAACATTCCACTATCATATTTAGTAAAATAAGTTTTTTCCCCTTAGTTGGCTACTGTTTTCCTCATCTAAGAAATCTCAATACTTTTTCCCTTCTCTCCTTCCCACCCTTTCCTGGGATGTGGACCTGTGGGTCAGTCTGCCCCCTTGTCACAGACACTAGGCCCAAACCAAGCTGAACTGTGACAACAGTGTTGCTGATTTCAGCAATATCAATCATTCCTAACACCTCTGAAATATAAGAAAGAGTGAAATACAATTTTAAACGAACACATTTATCAATTCTGATAATTGTAATTGAAATACTGTGATATCAGAAAAATATTTATTAAATATTTGCAGGAATATTCTCTGTAAGGCATGTAGAAAGATATGAGGCATAGTGGGATCCAGCGCGAATAAAAATTTCTTCCTAACTTCCACCATTCAATGTGGCATAGAGACTGTGTCCTTCATTAGCATTTTTATCTTGTTTAATTTATCTACTGACGTCATTTTACAGTTACATGCTTTGCAGCTCTACTGAACCCTTGGCCTCAATTCAAAATACAGTAGGTACTTCGAAAATTGATGTTAACAAAATTTCATTCTGGTTCTACAAACATTAAAATAACTATCAACAACTTTAGGAAGAGTGGACTTACTCTCAACAGGACTCCATTCACTAAATATAATCAGACTTTATGTTGATTAAAGAATGCTTTGAGTTGCAACCTCAAGTCTTTACTGATGCAAGTAAATTTGTGAGGGCACCCAAAGTTACTTTGACAATGAGTAAAAGCTGAAAATGTAGAAGAGCTGATAGCATATTTGAGTACAGATCTCATGTGTATATGAACTTGTTTCTCAAGTCCTTTATCGTTACAGAGAAAATTACATATCTACGCATCTGAATGAAAACAGTATATTGTACTTGGCAAAAGGGAGCACTTGCAGCTAGTCGACACATACAACACTGCAGCATCAGGAATCTTCTGGGGAGCTTTCCCTCCAAAAGTATTTTGGTACTATTCAGTCTGAAAGAATAATAGAAGCATTTCTACTTGTATCCTCTTCTACATTAGCAACATTTTGAAGAACAAATTTGAAATAGCATCTCGTGACACTGACAGTGTTATGAAAGATTAAGAAATATTTTTAATCTGAACAGAATGTCTCTATTTATTCAGTAAAATTGTAAGACAAATGAACAAATGAAAAAGCATCCTCTGGTGTGATTTTTTTCCTGCCTATGTCTGTGAAATTTGAACATAGCTATTACAACAGGTGTTGCCATAACCTACCAACGAAAAGTCATGAAGAATTTTGTAGGCAGTTACTTCCTCTGATTCCTCTACTTTTTTACGGTATTGAACTTTGTTTTGGTCATAGGCTTCCTCTGGCTTTCATTAGATATAGCGTGCATAGGGCCAAAATTCAGTGTTGGATGCCAGTTTCACATCAGCTAAGGAGTAACCCAGGAGCATGTTATTTTGGCACTAAATTTTACAAAACCTGTGTTATTTATTTATTTTTTTAATAAGTTGTAATTAAACATGAATTTTAATTTCTACAGTAGGGAAATACTTGAATATGATCAGATAGAATAAATGATTAAAAATATTCAGTTGGTTGAAAGTTAGGATTTTTAGACTCTGTTGTTTGACTTCTTTTTTGGAGGGGGGTGATAGCGAAGGGGAGGATGGCATAAGTAGTACTTTTAGTGTGAGGAAACAGAGCTCACTAAAGAGATCTGAAAAGTGAAATTGGGAAGGCTTGGAGTTCTTCTGTTTCCTCTCTCTACAAAGTCAAAGCTATATTCTACAAACAATAACTCCGGAAACATTGATTGAAGTATTTAATAAGCTCAAACAATGTGCAATATTGCATAAGTACCACTTAACATACATTAATCCAATGGCTGTAAAGCAGTGATTGCAGGCACCATTTACTCAGCTCTTGAAAACAATAGAGCGACCCTAAGAAAATACCTGGTAACTCATTTTACCATCATAAAATACTAAAAAGATTTTTCTTTCCTTTTTTTTTTTTTTTTGACTGATTTTGCACAGATTTTTATCATTAAAATTTCGTAACTTCTAACAGTTCATAAATAATAAAATCTACAGTAGATTTTTTTTTCTTTTTTGGATCAATATCCATTATTCATCATCTTCAAATTTCCAGCTTTTGAAAGAAACATCAGACCTTACTATCACTTCACATTACTTCCTATGTTGGTTTCCTTCCACTCATACTTCAGTAATACACATCTCACAGCTGTTAGGTTTACAACATAACGTTTCCTAAAACTTCCAATCTGATTTCCCTGCTTCAAGAAGACTTATTTCAAAGAAGAAACTATGCTATAAGTTCTGCAGATTGGTTACATAAAGAAAGGAAAAAAAGATCGGTATTTGTAATTTATAAAGTTATAATTTCAGTGAAAGAGAATTGTAAGAAAAGGTGTAGAGGTATACAATCATTCAGGATTCAGTAAGTTATTGTATTTGAGTTATAGTTTGAAGTTGTTCAAATTTGTTAATTACAAATAAAGATATGAATCTGACAGCTCTCTGATCTCTTCTAATATTTTATTAAATCAATCTAAAATTGTTTCAACTTCTTTTTTTTTTCTTGGTTTATGCCAAAGTAAATTATGTCAAATACAGATGCCTGCTGTTTATCCAACCATTCTTTCCACTGTGGCTGGAAAAGCATTTAGATCCACTTGCACTTAAAAATATTTGCCAATTATTTGTATTAATAATTATTTGTAATTGAGGTTATTATATAAATTCTGTTCCATAAGTAGGATAACTAAAACTTTTTACATGGCAGAATGATAAATAATGGTAAAATTCTAAGTACATTAGTAAAGAAAACTGTTTAGCATGCATAAAATGTTTAGGATTTGATATAACTAAGATAAAAGTCCAAACTTTCAGATACATTGCCAGTCCTCATGAGTATTTCATTACCATGAAATAGTGTAGACTTGAGAGCTTTTAGTTACAAGCATTTAAAATATTCTCTCTTCTCAACATGCTTCAAGAAAATAGCATATCTAATACCCTATTTACATTAATTGATTAGCAAAAACTAAAAGCTTTCTCAGCAAATAGTCAGGAAAGTTTCATTCAGGTATATAAAATACAAAAATAAAGCTCTGTTTGGATTGATGATAGCCAGGCTTCTGGAAAGATTAATTTTTATGCACTAATTTGGACTACGCTCAGGCTAAATATTTTGCTTTCAGAAAAAATTAGGACAGTCATACAGAACCTTTTATTCTCTATTCTGCAAATTTAGTTAGTCATGATAATTTAATGGACAGTGAGGCCACACAATCTTATTATCAGAGCTCCCCTTCAGCAGCTCCTGGAGTGAATTGTCATTCTCAACATGCAAGCCACCACCTCAATTTGAATCTTGTATAATATTATCTCATAAGGGACAAGCATATTTATCCTTCGAGGTTTATTTATCAACAACCATAACACTTAATGTCCTATCCATTTTATTCATCATAGACTTTTACACGTTCAAGCTGTGCATGCATGCTATTTACTACTGGTAACTTCATGCTCCATATGAAAAGTCTTTTCTTTGGCTGTAAACAGTTTTAACTATTTTATTTTTGCCTGTGGCCAAGGATGAATATAATGGAATGTCACTGACTGAATATTTGCATTGCACACATTGTTTTAATACAGCTTCATTTCTTTTTCAGTATCTGAGAAATAGAGATGTCATAGATCCTGTAACAGTTATGCTACTCTCCAAGGTTCCGTTTATACAGCAAAATGAAGATGGAAGTATTGGTCACAGAAGCAACAAACAGAAAGTAGAAGCTGCCACACCAGCTGTAAATTAAGTATCTAAGTCCCCAGAGACATTCTCAGTCTTCACTCATTACTGTGCCATTATTACACTCACCTACATTAGCTTTATCTGTGTAAGCATGACAGGTGTTTTGGTTGTGGTTTCTGTTTTGTTTGCAAAAATTTCACTTTACTTCTCAAGGTTTGACTTTGATCTAAAGGAAGAAAAAAAGAGACTGGGACAAAGGCCATCACTCTGCTATTGAAGTTATTTTAACCCTCTCAGAATGGCTGGTTGGAGTATAAGGACACAAATAGGGTCACTAAGTATTTTGAGACCTGGCAGAATTCCCTACAGGAAGTGTGCCCTGCCCACACAGTTTAGTTTCCAATTATAGCACAGTGATCTGCAGAATGTTGCTGTAAACTGTTAAACTCTGCCCATCTCTTGCCACTTCAGGGGAATATGTGATGCTTGCACTAGTTCGTAGCTCATAAATGAAAGCCTGAGCAGATGGCAAGAGCATCACCAAGGTGATTTGCACTTTTCGCATATGTAGCATTCTGTGTTTACTATTATATAAGTAATCCAGAAAAGCACAAAGATTTTGCTTCTTCCTTCAACAATCCTCTTTCAAAAGAAGAGAAAGTATGTGGGTTACTCTCATAGGGTGCAGATCTCAAGGTTCAAATATTTAATTTTTAGTAGTCACCCACCAAGCTTTGCATTAATTTTAAGGCTTTCAGTTTTAGACAACTTATTTTCACTGACTGTTTGGTCATATATAGGAAATGTTGATCAGTTTAAGGCTATAATTCTAGCAGGCCACATTCTGCTACTGAATTATAGCAAATTTCCCATTGATGGCTAACAAATAAATCGTTTTTGTCTTATATCCAAAAGAGATGATGATATTCTTTTCAAAGCAAATTAAAATAACTAACAAACTCAGTCTGTTCACTTATCTTAAATGTCATTATTTTCTATACAGTTTTCTAGTCACAGTCTACAGGTTTGTGGTGCTGAAAGAAGAAATAATAGGTAAACAGGCAAGAATGTTTTTCAGATAGTTTATTGCATGAACTTGCAGTAGAGAATTGCTTTTATGGAGAATCATAAATAAAGCCTTTACAGTAATGCTGACTAAAAGCAATTTACTCATTTGAAGCTTATGAACATAAAACTTCTGTTAAACAAAAAGCCAGGCTCAAGTTCAACAGGATTTACTTTGGAGAGTAAATAGATGCATTTTCTAATGGGAAGGGTTTGCAAGGGGACCTGACTGAGCCAAAAAGGTATTTTATGACAACGTATTTAACCTACCTGTATCTCAAGTTTCCCAGGAAGATAAGGAGGATAATAGCATTTCTATCCTTACACTGGATTGTAAAGCTTAATTCACAGTCTTATCCAAAGCCATTAAAGCCAATAGAAATCTCTCATTGACTTTAAAGAGCTTTTGTTCAGGCCCTTTACAAGTCAGGTGAAAGACTGCCACTGACTTCAAACCCCATGCTTTGAAAGTTCCTTCTGGTTACTGTATGCACTTATTTACACCTGTTTCTTAGGGACCCTTACCTATTGGTTGCATAATTGTGTTCAAATGCCGCTGCTGGCTACCAGCTGTACACTTCGGATCTGGATGAAGTACAATTTTAATGACTTTTCCCTTCAATTAGCCACAGCATCAGATTGAGATTATCAATTGTTACTGTGTTGGCATTATGCTAGCTGTGTAACCAAAGACAATATCTGACCTGGTATAAAGCTTCTCACTACCAAGATAATCACTTAAAATTTTCAAGATATTTGAAGTATCAGAGGAGTTCAACAGAAAGTCAATACTTTACATACTGTGGATTCTACATTTCCGATCTAAGAAAATAGGTCCTATAGTGTGGAATTACAGCCTCATAGAAAAAGGCTCCAAAATGTCATGATTACGAGAACTGAAAAGAAGAATGTGTAACTTTTAATGGGAGCACCATGATTGTGTAAACTATGCATTATTATACTTCTGTAGCATTTAAACAATGTTAAGCAAGTATCATAAAAGCTTGACTTCATTCTATAAGAATTTGAAAACAGTAAGAGTAAACTAAACAGAAATCACTATTCCAGTTCAGATAACTGAAATAAATTTCCAGTGAAATGTTTTTTTTAATCTCTAAATAATAGTTAAAAGTTCTTTGAATATTTACTGGATGTTATTCAAAACAGCCATTTTCAGCATTATGAGTGGTTGATATGACATACTTCCAAGCCTGAAACACAGCAGTATCAGTGCAATAGCACTATATAACATCTGCCATTCTGTACTGCACAAAGAAACTTTTTTTTTTTCAAGGACAGTGTACAACGATCACAATTATTAATATTTTGTAATTAATATTTAAATTTTATCATTAATAGAGTTAACATGTCTAGTTCAGATGTCCTGTTATTTTGGTAACGTCAGTTACAGTATAAATTTTATACCACTAATACTAAATCTTTCCAAATCTTACTTTACACATTTTAATTATATTTACACACATCATGAAAATGTCTATCTACACCTTTACTTTCCAATTTTAGTCCTATAAAAATAATGCAATAATAAGAAGTAATAGAATTCATTTTATAACATTTTGGCAAGCTAACTAAAGATAATACAATCTGCCAAGATTTTACACTTTAGAAAACCTTCAGAATCTCTAAAGGTGCATCTAATTTAGATCTTGAATGATCTCATGGTTGTTGATTTATCAACTTAACCCATTAGGCCATTACGTATGTTGCTATTCTGCAAGAGAAAAAATGTTCCTAACATCTGTTCACAAGCTGTTTTTTCATAATTTCCTTCTATGCCCATTTAACTCATTAAGCACATCTACAAAACCTTACTGTCAAACTATCTACACTATAGATGGATTTCAAGCCTACAAGAAATCTAAAAAATTGTAGACATACAATACAACCAACAATATACTATTTTTACTGAAAATTTTGATCCAAAAATATATATATACGTTTTTTGCAAATTGGGACTCTGAACACAAATTACATTTAACCTTATTTCTCAAGATAACGTGTTTCAACAAATTGAGAACAACAGGTTTGTGTCTCATCATTTTGGAGTTCCTTATGACAGCTTCAGTCTTATGAGAGGAGAGGGGTTAAAATTAAGAACAGTATACTTTCTGAATGGCTTGAGGAGAGTGATTTTAATGCTTTTATTCACTTGCACAAGTGCTCTCAAGTCTACCACAGAAAGAAGAATAGAAAGTGTACCAGTAAACTAAAACCTAACATGTATGTAATGTTAAGAACCTGGCATGAAGCTTGTCTTATAAGTACACTATTCATTTTTTCCTACAGCAGAAAATTTTCAAAATTTTGTTCCTCCCAAGCTTGCTTCCAGCCCTGTGATCTTTGCTGTCATTAATTCAGCTAACATCAGTGGGATAACTTCTGCACAAAAAGGCTATGAAAAGTGAACTAAATCTAGTCTTACCAATTTCCCTGTGAAAGACACTGGCTTTTTTACAATATTAAAAGAGAATTCTCTCTTAAACATGTCAAAAAGACACATCTGGAGAAAGGATTTGTATTTTCATAACAGAATGCCCAGACTATGTGACTATCATCTGCATGCAAGGTTACATTAAAAAAAGAAATGGAATCAACACAAAGTGTAATAAAACTGAAACCAAAATGAAAGTAGAGTGCAGAGAAAAACATTTACCATCTTCCTGATGAACAGAGATACATTGTTACCAGTCAAGAAACAGATATTTCAGTTTAAATTTTGACATAATTAAATAAGAAAACGTCCCTATATAAAGAATATTTATTTCGGGGAAAAAATTGAAATATCCCTACTTTCATCGACAGACCAATTAACAGTTAACTCTTCCTAAGCACAGTTATGATTTCCTAATTCTTCATCCCAGCACTGGCACCAAAACAAGATGAAGAGCCAGTCCAAACTGCATCAGCTGCTGGCAACACCCCCAGGGAGCATCTGTCAGCTACAGGGAGCTGGCTCACCCTCTGGCTACTCCTCCACTACATCCCTACACGTTTAAAATCTCTACTGCTACTTCTTCCACACAGGGAATTCAAAAGAGTCTTTACTTCTTTTATAAGAGTTAAGAGCAAACTCAATCTCAGCCAACCAAGATATTTTATGATGTTTAATAGTTCTCACAACAATCGCAAGAATGCAATCACCTGGAATTCACACATGCTGTGCTGCACAAATTACTCAAGAGACTGGCACTGCTTTTCAGTTGCAAAGCTTAAACGGTACACAGGAAATTGACTTACCGGGCCAAATGCATTGCTGTCAAAGCTGTGACCACGGTGATCACCTTCCACCCAAATATGCCCATGTGGAACTTTCACGTACTTCTTTTTGTACCCAATAGTTCTAAAAAGAAAATTAAAAAATTATGATTGATGAAAAAAATAGCCAAAAATTCTATTATGAAAATTCACACATATTACTTTGGAATTTGGTCTAGCACACCATCCAACACTTTCTTAAAAAGAGAAAAATGCATTGAAGTCCTTTGGACATGCAAGAATGCTCTTCACAAGTGAAAATACATAATGATTGTGCATGAGTTAGTTGCACCATCCGGACTTGTTTACTACATTGTTTTGGTAGAAATCACATCACAACAGAGAATAAAATACTTTTCAGATATAATTAAGGAGTTCTTATTTTCATCTCTGTAGTAACGGCTCTTTGAAACACAAGACTTCATGTTAGGCAAACACTAGTAGACATATGTTGTAACCACACAAAGATATTGCATCAAGAGTGATTTCCTTTCAGGTCAGCATTACGTTCTCATCAAAACTAACCTGGTGTATCTAACCAGACCTCAGATTCACAGCTTGGATTCCAGCAATGCTTATGTCTTGGGGTAGGGATGAGTTAAACAGGAAATGTCTAGGAGAAGGCCAACTGCCGCCAAAAAATGACATTGATGATTCAAAGTGTTCTCCATACGCCTCAGCATGCTCTGATATTACAAAAATGACATGCTATAGAGGAGTCCTAAAAGCTGAGGTTTGGAGTATGCAAAATGCCTGTACTTAGTTCTTGAGTAGCTGTCATTTTCACAATTACTGTCTGCCTTCTACTATACACTTTTGTTTTCTTTCAGATAGGATCTGTTATTCTGTAAACATTCATTCAGGGAGCTAGTTTAACAAGGACTCTGAATTACTATTATGATGAAGCATTTACACACTGGACTATGGATAACTTTTATCTTGTACTGGGTTAACTACATCTGTCCATAGGCAGAAACAGTCTTTTGATCTAGTTTGTTGCCTCCAGCTGCTCACCACATTTCAGTGTCAGCCCCCAAAGCAGACACGAGTGTGCTCTAAAACTGAAGAATGCAAGCTGAAGAGAGAGAATCACTGTCGCCAGGAAATTCAGCTGAACTGTGCAACAATGCTGATGAGGGCTGGTCCCCCACTATTTTTGGGGGGAGGTTCTTTTTTGCGCATGTGTCTGTGAGGATGTTATGGGGAAAAGCTAATTAATAGCCCGATGATCATGAAATACTCAATGAACAAGGAATCCTCAAAGATTGATTAAATAAAAATAATAATTTACTTTGCAAATCACAAAATCCACCCGCTACTTTTTCAAACAGATCCAGAGGAAGCTGAAAGGATGAGGTTGCCAGAACTAAACTCTAATGGAAGTTCTACCTGGGCTTTCATTAGCAGTAGACAAAATAGTAGCCTATTTGCAGAAGAAGAGACTCTAATTTTCATCTTTCTTCAGAACTTTCTTAAACACAAAGAGTAGGTTTGTAATAATTCAATTGCTACTATAAAAAACATATTTATTACAATGCAACCCTTTCTGGTTTTGTTATTTCTTTATGACATTTTACAGTCTAGACAAAAAACGTATTTGTTTTATGATTTCATAATGCTTTCTCTCACTAATAATTTATTTTATCATGTGCCATACGAGAACGTATTATAGTGAAAGTGTGTTTTAAGATACAGATTCAGAAAAGTTGGCCATTAGTTCTGTTCTGTCTGATTAGACATTCTGAAGACTACTAAATTAATATATTCCAGCAGTGATAAAGTCAAACAATAGCTGAAAAATATTCAATTTTCTCTTCCCTTCTCGAATATAGAACAGTAGATTGTGATAAAGTTTTGTACCTTCACAGATTCCATGCACAAAATTGAATTTCTCTGAGAAAGGTGAAAGGAATTTGAAAGTTAATTCTGCTGACATGTTTACCTCACAAATGTCAAGAAAATAATATGGCAAATGTCAGTCAGTGACTCCTTTTCAGATCACACACAGTCTCACACTCCCAAACAACCTCCTCCTCTATTATGATCAGGAAATCATTAGCAGGGAGAAGAAAATAAATTAATAAAACTTTTGTAATAAGTATTTGGAAACAAAATTTGAAAAAAAAATCAGTTTGCACAGATAGATTTTGTATTCACAGAAAGCCTGCGAAAACAGAAGGTTCCAACTCCCTGCTATAGGCAGGGACACCTCCCCTTAGACCAGGTTGTTCAAAGCCTCATCCAGTCTGGTCTTGAATGTTTCTAAGCAGGGGCATCCACAACCTCACTGGGCAACCTGTTCCAGTATCTCACCACCCTACAGTAAATTATTTCTTCCTAATACCTAGTCTAAACCTACCCAATTTAAAACAATTTCCCCTTGTCTTGTCACTACGTGCCCTTATAAAAAGTCCTTCCGCAGCTTGTCTGTAGGCCCCCTTCAGGGCCCCAGCTCTCTCAGCCTGTCCTTGTAGGGGAGGGCTCCAACGCTCTGATGGTGGATGAAAAACTTAACATGAACCAGCAGTGTGCTCTTAAAGCTCAGAAAGCAAATGGTATCCCGGGCGCCTTTGTGAGGCCCCATCTGGAGTACTGTGTCCAGGTCTGGGGCCCCAAGTACTATAAAGCCAGAGAGCTGTTGGAGAGGGTTCAGAGGAGGGCCACAAGGATGATCAGAGGGCTGGAGCACCTCCCCTAGGAAGATTATGAAGGTTGGTGGCCCTGCATGCAGCAGGGGGGTTGAAGCTTGATGATCCTTGAGGTCCCTTCCAACCCAAGTCATTCTATGATTCTATGATCATCTTCATGGCTCCTCTGGACCTGCTCCAACAGCTCCATCTCCTTCTTGTGTTGAGGGCCCCAGAACTGGATGCACTACTGCAGATGAGGGTCTCATGAGAGCAGAGTAGAGGAGCAGAATCACCTTCCTCAACCTGCTGGTCATGCTTCACTTGATGCACCTCAGGATATGGTTGGCCTTGTGGAGCTACAAGCGCACATTGCTGGCTCAAGTCAACTGTTAATTGACACCCCTAAATCTTTCTCCTCAGGGCTATGACTCTATGAAGAAGTTTCAGCTTAAAAAAAAAAAAAAAATTAAAGTTGTTCATGCTAATAAATGCATTAAGGGAATAAGGAAGAGGAAGAAACAGAAAAGAAACAGAAGCAAGAGTTTTAATTATGTGTTTTAGTAGATAGGACTGCGTGGATAAATTCCTCTGTAACCACAGCACGTAAATATAAAACCTTTTGTAATTTAATGTATGGAGTACATAAATCATCAGATTTTGCTTACATAATTCATTCAAAATGTTAGTGTAGTAATTGCATAAGGCAGTTGCCTAAGGACTCTGAGGCCTCTGTAGCAATATTGTGTCCTTTGAAAGGCAGGCTGAAATTCAGAAACAGAGTTTTATTTGAGCTTTTGCTGCATGAATTAGTAACAAACTACAGCAATAAGCTAATGTTACAGTAAATTGCATCATCCATTACTTAATAATTTTCAAGATAATTTCACTGTTGAATTGTTCTAAAACAGATAAATCATTCATGCAAGCCAAGCAGGCTATAGACTTCAGAAACCCATATTCTGCCAATGACAGTAAGTTGCTTTTAAATATTTCTGCAAATAATACATTGACTTTTTCTAAAAAGAAAAAGTTATAGTTTTCTCTCCTATGAAAATAGTCTAAATTGCTTCATTATCAAAATTAGACTGTTATTTATTAAAACTGCTTCTCACAGGAATTTTGCAGAAATTAAACACTTAAATCTCAAGCCTAAATTATGAGATGTGTGTGCAATGTTGGCAATAGGGCTCTTTCTCTTAATACACCAACTCCCATTCATTCATTTCACTAGTTAAACATTTTATACAAACATACTATAAGGAAACTATTACCCATCTTTACAAGTCCAAATTACTAGCTGAAATTGTGAAACATAATTTCCGAGAGGAAAGAGAAGCACCAATTCAATCCTGTCTCTTAAGAACAGCATTGCAGGTAATCGCTGTCCACCTTTCAGATTCAGTACGATGCATATTAATAAAAAATACAAGTATATAGTTCTATGAAAAAAAAAAAGTTATATGATACAAAGTGATAAATGACCTAGGAATGCTTCTAGCATTCTTTAACAATAACCACAACAAAACTTACTATCTTCAAGCCAAGTATCAAATAAAAGCACAATTAGCTCACCAGGAATTTTTTGTCAGTTCATTGTGAGAGGCCTTTGCTAGAAAAGAAGTGCAGTAATTGCATACTTAGAAAGTAATGCAAAAATCTATTTTTCTTTCTTATTTAAGAGAATCTTATGCTTCATTTCTCTGAGTTTGCCTGTAATCTGGACCTCTTTGTTAGCTCTTACACATGAGGTATTTAATTAAATTTAGATTTCTGAATGAATCCTTAGGAGAATAAGTGGTGCAAGTGACAATTAACTTGGTATTTGGTAATTTCGTATCCAGTTCATTAACACAAGTTGTAATTACTGAACAATCTTTTCAATTTCAGAAAGTCTCTCCTAATAAGTCTTTCACATTCAGAATCCTAATATCAGAACTTTATTTCCTGCTCATTTTAAAAAACTGTTTTGAAAATAGGATAGGCAAAGACATTAAAATACCCAGGTTTTCATACAAAATAGTCAAGCACCTGTTAGAACCTATGTAGCTGAGTATTCCATCTTTTGCATAGGTCTCTCAGAAGTTGGTAATAACCACCTATGCTATGATAGATCAAATCATAGCTTTGACTACTTGGTGTAATAACAAAATCTAGGAGAGTTATAAATTTTTTTATCAGAATGTAATGGAATTACTCTTATCCTTTTTGTAACATTTACAGAAGATCACCTGAATTTATTTTTTTTTCTTACGATTCAGATATATTTTAAACCCAATGCAAAAAGCTGATTTTCCCCCTCCATGTTCTAGTAGTTAACAGATGCACTTATATATATCCTTGGCTGAGAAATAATTTCAATCTTGACAGTCAAAAATGAGCTCTATATGGTATTCTAACTGCCTGCCCACTAGCAAAAAAAAAAAAAACACCTGCTTTTTTAGGATGTGGTACCAGT